GTCACCATTCACACAATCTTTATTAGACCTATACGCTTTATTACACTCGGCTGCCTGCATCCCAGTAAGCCAATCAAACCCACTCTTGTGGCATACATAGCATGCAAGCCCATCCTCTGCCTCCAATCATCCAATCAAACCCACTCTTGTGGCATACATAGCATGCAAGCCCATCCCCTGCCTCCAATCATCCAATCAAACCCACTCTTGTGGCATACATAGCATGCAAGCCCATCCCCTGCCCCCAATCATCCAATCAGTATTATTCTTGTTGGACACATGACAAGCAAATATTCATCCAATCTCAGCTACTCGTGTACATATGACATGCAGATCCTTTCCACCTTTCTTCCAATCAGACCCACTCTTATTGCTCGTCGTATATGCCTCGATCCATTCGATCAGAACCACGCTTATGCACACACACGCCCACGCGCGTGCGCGCGCGCACACACACACACACACATAACACACACACCTTCATTTACACACACATTCACACACATACACGTCACACTCTTACACACATACACGTACACGCATGTATATGCGTGCACACACGCCCGTGCTCACACACATGCACACACAAAAAACAACAACCAACAACAACTGCATCAACAACCACCCTCAACAACAACATCCCAACTCACGATATGAGCTCCTGGAAGAGCGTAGCCATCACCGCAGCCCCAGGGCCACTCATCCGACCCCCCCCCCTGCCTACACGCACACCACACCACGCCAACTCCACCACCACCACCACCACAACAACAACAACAACAACAACAACAATCACAACCCCAACTCACGATATGAGCTCCTGGAAGAGCGTGGACATGACCGCAGCCCCAGTGCCACACAAACACACAACAATTACATCAACAAACAACAACATCAACAAACTACAGCAACAAACAGCAACAACATCATCATCTACCACCACCACTATCAACACCAACAACAACCCCAACTCACGATATGAGCTCCTGGAAGAGCGTGGCCATGACAGCCGCCCCAGCGCCACTCCCAGCCACCAGAATCATCTCCGCCATCTCTCGGCGCTGCCGGAAGTACCGCCCCACCATGATGTTGGCCGTGACAACCGTGACGCCACTGCCGATAGACATGACGAGGCAGTGGGAGATGAAGAGCTGCTCTGGCTGGGTGGAGAAGGCGAGGAAGAGGCAGCCGAGAGCGCAGATCAAGCCGCCAATCACGCCGTAGAGGCGAGGGGATTTGCGTCGACAGATGATTGTCACCACAGGAGCGATGAAGAGCGATATGGCGATGCCCAGACTGCCTAGCCAAGCTGGGAAGGATAAGGAAAGGGAGTTTGTTTGTTTGTTTGTTTGTTTCTTTGTACAAAACCTCACACCACATTTCACCCCTCCTCTCCTCCTTACAAACACACACACACACACACACGCACACACACAGACACACACACACACACACACACACACACACACACACACACACA